CTGTTTTTTTTTGGTCTCTTATTTCCTTTACTTTGTTTTACTTCATTTGTTTATTAAGCTGATGGCTGTATTGAAGAAAAAGACCACCAACTAATCCGCGCCAATTTCAACTGGCGCTATCATTTCGTGCCAAATGTCCGTCACGACGCACCAAAACTATGTGAAAAATTCAACGAGGGGTATTGTTCTGCCCAAATATGTAGCGTGCTGGTGCCCTGTAGTGACCACTATGATGGCCAAAAACCGAATCAACCTTGTCGTTTCAGTTCGATCAGACCGAAACAGAAGAAGGCTGCACACTCAGCTTTTGCAGGTAAAGTTTATCTATTTGAGCATAATACATAAGCCAAGGTTTGCTTTACGACGCGAATGTACGCATATAAGCCAATGCTTTTCCTCTTAAAAACTCTTTTTAGAAAAGAAATAGAAACGAAAGACAGAGTGGAGCTGAACTTGGCCCTGGAGATGCGATGGGACGACTGGGGTGACTGTGATACAAATAGGCAACTACAGAAGCGAGAAGGTGAGCCGCTCAGTAGTAGGCGATTTCAGCTTCACGAGGACAGTAAGGCGGTACAAGGCTTGCCTTGGAGGATCAAATGAGCAATCTGAACATTTCTCTCTAGCCCACTGTTACTTGGTTCGAAAAGCTGGCTACGAAATTCCTATGATTGAGAAGGAACTGCCAGACGAGTATAAGTGGATGACAAGGCTGAACGCTTTGTTTGATCGAGAACCATTTCGCTCGAAAGGAGTTCGTCTTTATAGGTTTGTTGTAAAATTATTCACCTTGTCCATCTGTGATCATCATGCCCGAACATATCAGAGGGCAGCAAGAGGCGTGGCTGCAAGAGAGGCGAGGGATCAGGAGAGGCTGAAAAAGTGGAATCAAGCCAATTGGTTCCCCACTTCTTAACGAACATTAAAGGCAGTTGGCACGATGGTTTCCTACTTAGCCTAAAATGCTAGGGCGCTGTATAGTGGGGAAATGGCGAAAGAACGGAGTGAAACGGTCAAAATCCTGCGAAGAAAAAGCCTCCGTTCTCAGTGATATGCATCTTGCCAGTTCACCGCTACCGAAGATACCGGCATATGGCATATGTGTCCCCCACATCCTTTGTAGGCGGGCGGCGTGGCGGAGCGTTTGGACGTAAAGTTGTGGTGATAGGGCCCTTATAAGGCACCTTCCTCGGGGAAACCGCTATGCAGCGCCTGCCCAGGGTCGCGGAATTCTATCCTGCCAGGAGTATTGATCCTAGTCGTCTTGGGGATTTATGTGAGTGCTTTATATACTAGACTCGCCAACCTGTCATTCTACCCAACTGCCGTGAGTGGCGCCAGATGTTACACGACGGGACAAAGAGGAGCGGGAAAAATTGAAATGCAGATTGTCCTGCCTAACATACACTCTTGCTAATAACCAACTTGTGACTCAAATTGTGCTCTCATCTCGGTACAAAATTGACCTCGGATGTGAAGATTTTTTTATACCAGGCCATCAACCTAACTGAGCTAGAACACAAATGTGAAGCATATCTAATGGAGCAGCGCTCAGGCGACAAATCTAGATTTCTAAGCGTTTCTCGTTTTAAAGGCCATTGAAAACAGGAGTTGCATGTTGCAATGGAAGCGTAATGTTAGACCAGAGTGATCACATGCTGGTTCGATTTTCGGGGGGGGGGGGGGGGGGGAATCTTAAAAAGTAGAGGTTGGCTAATAGCACGCTAAACGCGCCCCTTAGTTTACGATAATCACTACCTCTCGTAGTAGTTAATTAAAGGTGTCTGCCGGTAACTTGCTCGCTCTACAGCGAATTTTTTTGAAGACCAAGGATAGGATGTGAATGTGGTGGTGGTGGTAGCGGTGAAAAGGTGCCGTACAGAGATTCTCTTGGAGGGTCGTACTGACACAGCCATTAGTGCTCTACACAACAACATGGTGCCCCACCGCAGGCAGTGGAGACCGCTTTGGTTTGAAACAATCTTTTTCAAATGACACTACTATGAAAAGAGCATCTCCCTGAAACAAACCGCGGCACGCTTATCACGTTCGTGGCCATTGGAAACAGCAAAACGAAAAAATCGACTCATATACTCTAACAATTCAGCTCTCTGCTGGCTTCATTATTCGTCAAGGAAGACGTGATGAAAAGATGTCACTATGAGAAACGGCGTTTGGAGGTGGGATATCTTGCCAAAGTGCTTTTAACTGTTCTTCTACTTATCGTGTCATGCAACGGATAAGGGAAAGCGGCCGCACTCAGTGTGACTGGTCCTAGTTCTACCAGTGAGTCCGCCTAGGTAGCCGTCTTGTATGAGAGACGCACTTTTGGATGGCGCGGTCGCGCGCGGCAATCTGCTAAGCACTGCATGCATGCATTGGAGGCACGCTCGCGATAAACCCCCACTTCATTGCGTTTTTGAACCAAATTGCGTTCGCTTCAGTTTTCAGCCATGGTCTTCACTTTGGCAGGACCAGGAATGTCATAACTGCTACACTGTTCTATTTGCATAACTAGAGTGATTACATGGGAATTATAGTCAGTAGTAGGTTCTACCGTCACATACAGGTCGTGTTTCCCTTGTTGAGGCGTATGCTCCTCCGCACGTGGTCATCTTTCGGTGCAACCCTTTGGCAGTGTAGTCTAGCCGAGAGTGCACTTTGTGGGTGTCTTCTAAAAGCGAGAAGGGTGTGGTTACGGTTGAAGCACCAACTTGATATCGTAACAGCGGTTAGGCAGCGTTCAGACTTCGCGACGGCAGCGCTTCGGTCGCGCGTTCGACGCGATCGATGCAGTCGAAAGCATGCGCATCGATCGTCCAAACGCGCGACCGAAGCGCTGCCGTCGCGAAGTCTGAACGCTGCCTTAGCTCTCAGCTTCGTTGCCTGTTTGGAAGTTTTCTCCTGTCACTTCCTACATCACAAGGCATTTTGCAAATAGACAGACAATCACGCACTCATGTACTGTTAATCCCAGCAAACGGTAGGGTGTGTGAAAGGGCGCGTTCACAGACAGAACAACCCTTTTCGCCAAGCGTTGCGGACTCAGGATGGCACCATTGATGAAAAAAGCGCCTTGCAGTATTCCATCCACCCACCTCGCATGCGCTGTTATTTACAACGAGCATGACTGTACATACATACCGACAAGTCCACGCACCAAGTTACTGAAGTTAGTGCTATAATCCGCTGAAACATTCTTTTCAGACAGATCGGATATGGCGAATGATCATACGTAGCATGGGCGTGACAAATATTGAAGGCAAAGTGCAGGGAAAAATTCCTGAATTGGACGAAAACGGCAAATACAGGCTGAAACCACAGGCATCGCTACGACTCACAAATCCTTTTCATGCTTGTATGATGTGAGTAATTTGTTCGGCGGACCATACTTCAGCAGTTACAGGGTCCCACCTTACTTGTTACGGACGCCGTAATACCGTAATATGGGACACCGTAACTGCTAAAGTATGGTCTTTCCAACAACACAAACTGATTGGCCAGTACCACTTTCGATAGCGTCGAATCCTGCAGTGGGCAAGCGGGCGATGGCGCCTGTTCCAATTGCGGTTCCCCCCTTCCGCCCAGACAGCTTTGGACCAGGGAGCTTTAGGTTTCAGGACCAGGGAGTGCTTTCTCAGGCCCGTCACTCGATCTCATTACAAGGTGTTTCACTCTATCTCCATCTTGAATTACATTTTCAGATACGAGTATGACTATGTGAGAAGTGCTGAACGTGTGGTTGGAACCTATATGACGGAGACGAGGTCTTGTCATTCTGAACGGACAAGGAAGACCTGATGATAGAAACAGAAACAGTGCGATATTAAGTGATTACACGCTGAATAATACATTGCATTATTTTTTTAATAAACACTAAATAGCGTTCAAGACAAGAGGTTGAAATTTTCCTAAAAAGTAACACAGCGACTGCCAATGAGCTGAAACCTAACCTTGGAAAAACGAGCCCGAAAAAGGTACTTTAAGGAAGGAAGATTCTGCTGTGGTAATGGCGCGATTCCAAAGGAATGCCAAACTCTTGAATCACGGGATACCGTAAAGGCTGAGGTATACACTTCCCAAACACACTGGCTTTCTGACACACTTCATCGAAAACGTACGAAAACTAAGAGTGTTGCTAGACTTAGGCTGCGTTCATATTTTGTGGCAGCGTCCACCAGCGTCTAGCAGCCCTACCACGGTCTACCAGCGTCCACCAGCGACCGCGTGTAGAGAGTATGGGGAAATAGGAGGGCATACACTACACTGCACATTAAGTTGCATTATTCTGTGCTTCAGCAGTTGTGGGTGCGGCTGCACACGCCGCTTCACGACGCCTGATTCCAGCTGTTTGCTACCGTCCTACTTCCACATA